CCCAACACTGTGACTAAACTAAGGTCTGTTTTCTAATACTAAAAAAATTGTGTTAGAGAGTTTGATTTATCCCAATGTTTTTACTGAAAACTGGAGCTGCTGTTAGTGAGCAGAGAAGGGCTGGGGGGAAATGTGCTGGTTGGAGCTGTCTTGGGCACTGCCACCAGAAATGATGGAGTTCTCCATCCCAGGTGAGGGAAGGAGAGGCAGAACCTGCACCCCCCCACAGGGTCAATAAATCCACGAGGCATCAGGTGCCTGGGCCCCATTTATGACTCTGGTGTGGGGGGTTACAACTGGGTGAACTGGTGAATGAAGGCTCTCAGCTTCTCCCGGTTGGAAGCAGACTGGAAAGGCTGGGAGAGCTGGAGGAGGGGTCCAGTGGGGGTCTGCAGCTCCTCCAGCACCTTGGGGGGCACAGGGAGGTCAGGGCGGGCAGCAGGATGTTGGGGGGCTGGGGGTGGCTGTGCTTACCCCCATGTCCTTGAAGCTCTGCAGGGAGCTCAGGGCCAGGCTCCTGTCAGGATACCCTGTGGGGAGAGAAATCCCGAGGGAACCCCCAAATCCCACCCCACGGGCACCCCTAGCCCAGTCTAGGGGGGCAGTGACTCCCAAAAGCAAGACCCCCCCCACCTCAACTCACCATCCTCATCCTCATCCAGGAATTCCAGCAGCGCCTCCACGTAGTCTGCCTCTGGAATTGGGAGGGGTGTCAGATCCCAGCTCCTGGGGGGCTCCAGCCCCCACAGTGTCCCCAGGGGTTCCCCACTCTGGGGGGTCCTACCGGGCTGGGGCCAGGGGGGTCTCTCCAGGAATTCCGCAGCCCGGCCGTAGCTCCGCAGGACGGGGCTCAGGAGGCGGCAGAGGAAGAGGAGGAAGCCGGGGAAGCCCTGGGGCTCGCTGAGCTGGGGGGACACACGGCTGGATTTGGGGGACACCCCCTCACCCCAGCCCAGGGGGCGGCCGGGGACCCCCAGTACCTTGTAGCAGCGCTTGGGGACCCTGTCCTCGCTGTCACTGTCGCTGTCATCGGTGAAGTCCCAGCAGGAATGGCCCCGGGACGAGGGGCGGGGGGCCACGTCGCAGCCCCTGCACTCGCTCTCGGGCTGG